TCTCATATGTTTGCATTAAATCTGGGTATATATTGGGGAAAAAAGTTAATACTCTTTGAAACTATCAAATTCTTTGTAAAAGGCTCCAAGAGCACACTCTACAGGGTATTTTATAATAAGGAACAAAGGAGGTGTTAGAAAAGTGACTCGAAAGAAAGTGTAATGGTAATTTTGAAATGTTATTATAATTTTTGAAAATCACGAGGAGTTTATAATTACACATGATTTGATTAAAAATGACAATAAATAGAATACTCCCTCCGATCTACTACCTCTGGTCCTAATTATAAGAGCTAATTGACTAATTTGAGGAGATTAAGAAAATAAGTTAAGTTAGTTATTTATAATAAATAGGTGTTATCTTTCTTAAAATATCTTTACTGACTAGAACTACCATTATTAGAGGGACTATCTTAAAAAAAAATACATAAATATAAGAGATAAAGTGGATTAGGGTCTTATAATTAGGATCAAAATAAAAATCAAATGAGGTCTTATATTAAGGATTGGAGGTAGTATTTGATATATCAATTTCAATACTACTTTCATCAAAACTAAGGAGAGGTTTAACACTTATTAATTTTGCTCGAAGGTTAACAAAGTTGCCAACTTTGCCTTTGTTAAATCCATCCTTTAAAGACCCAACTTTATAAAGCATAAACCAATATTGAATAAAGACGATATAAAAAAAATGTAACAAATATCTCATATATACATGATGTCTTATAAACATAATCCAGCATCTCTCCTTGATCCAAGTGCTTTATAAAAAGGGTTGGAGAAAATATAACAAGGATCAAAAGTCAAACTACGCTCAAGAGATAAATAACATGACTTGTCTTAAATTTCTTCTCCCTGTAATTCTTTTTTTTTAAAAATAAATGGATGTGATTGGATAGAATAACCAACAAAAAGGAAAAAAAAATCTATATCAATATCAATCAATATATAAAATATAAATTTACCATAACATATACAGTAACATACTAGTATCTAATATTATCAAAAGAAAGTGATATTACCATGACATGTAGATGCGACAAGGAGAACAAGAAAGAGAGCTGAGATGAGAGAAGAAGCCTTTTCCATAATTTCTTTGATCTCAAAATTTCTGAACAATTTATGCCAAACCAAGTGAAGATGGTTGTGCTTCTTGCAATATTCGTTCAGCTCAACTTATTCCTATTTATAGTGAATTAAGGGGATATAATATAAGTACGTATGGTAAAGTTTTTCTTTTTTGGAAACTGAATATATGGCAAGTGAAATCAAAGAGTTGGATTTGATGAAGTCTTTTATTTAGAAAATAATTATAATGGCATTTAAAGATTAAGATTTTAGTATATATTGAAAAATCCTAAGTAATTAATCATTACCTTTTTAAAAGACAAATTACCAAGCAAGGAAACATAAATATATATTAACCCATATATATTTGTGCGTGCGTGTGTGTGGTTTCTAGATTCTGAAATATGTTTAGAACTTTCTATTATTAAACTACTATTTTTCTATTAAAATTTACCTTTTGTATGAGCAAAAGAAAAGAAGAGCCATTTAGAAACTCAGTTGTCCCTGGTTTATCCTTTTCACTTTCATGTATTTGGCTTTCGCGCTTCATTTAAACTTGAATGTAAAGTATTCGGATTATAGAGTAACAAAACAACTACACAATTGTCAAAATATACAATCGGAAATTGGTTTTTTTTTTTTGCATCAAAAAATTTTTTGGCCAACAATTTTAAATCCAACTACAGGTAGTTTTAACTGATGCCTTTCTGATTTTCCCCTTTTTGGGAAGCTTAAGGCTTTTTTTTTTTTGGGAAGTTATAGTAGATATGATCAACCAAACGAAAAAAGGAAGACATGCTAAAACATTGATGTAGCATTTCCTAGGGAGAAATACGTACAATGAGGCATAAGCAATGAATTAAGGGGGGGGGGGGAGAGTCCCTCCAAATTGCTTAACTTTTATGAAGTCTTCGAATTACCAAAAATAATGATTTTTTGTGCACTTTTAAAGACTTCATAACAATAATGATATTGGCACATTAATTTGAAATATGTTCAAAGGTAATCAATATGCCAATAATTGGTTGGCTTGAGAAGCTTATACGCCTGATGTTTTCTTTTTTGCTCCCTTTATCAATCATCTGTAACTATGTGAAAATTATATTTTCGGTTTTTCAAATTCATACAAAGTTTTATTTTAGTCTCTTAATTTTATAGGGTCTTTTTAGGCTTCCGCTCGCATTGACATTTTAAATATTAACAAAAGGTTTTTAGATGCTGATGTATTAAATTTAATTTTTAAAAAGTAACAATTATTTACACACAAAAAAATCATTTGAGACTAATTGTTTTAGGGTAAAGAAATAAAAAGATACTTGATCAAATTAAGGGATTAGACTAAGACCTTACAGGAATATATACTTTTGTCTTGTGTTGTGCACTGGGTTGATCAATTTGGACAAATAAAGTACATCGCGTTCTCTAATTTAGTTGAGGTACTAAAATCGGACTGGATAATTAACCAATCAAGGTAATAATTAAATGATCAGTGAGTCAGATTGGGATAAACTTAGAGTCAGGCTGGTCATATTAAACTAATATAATTTAATTGATAATAATAAAAATATTACAAAACAACATCATTTATAGACTTAAAAAAGTTTAACCAGCTCACCTAGCTTAGCAGGTTGACTAGGTTATGTATAACTGGTTTGCATCACTTCATTCTAGTTCATGCTGGGTTGCTTTTCCACCGATTCATGTACTCAATTAGATTAGATCAAAACTGACTAGTTATATCTGATTTTTTTGAATTATGAATTTAGTCCTTTTGTATGTAATTACATGATTCTACGGTAACTTTTGTTAAAAAAATGAAGCAATTCATAAACAACCGAAATAATTGAGCTGTGATACTTAGATGAAAAAAGGTAAAAAACCAATATGATTTTATTAAACTCATGGTTCTGCTGGTATCAAAATGAGAATACTATAAATTATAGAGAGCTGGGGAATTAGAATTAGTTTTGGCCATGGCAGGCACAATAACATTGCCCTTGGCTGCTACATGCTTGGAAAGAACAACGCTCCTGGGGACATAATAAATGTTGGCAATCACAGGCATTTAGGTACTAAATTTTGTGTGTTTTGTCCAACACATTGGCATGTTCCCAGAAGACATAAAGGTTCCGCTTTGCATTTAATCTTCCCAACGCAATCAACATGTCTCCTGCATTGAACATCTTCTTACCCTATTGATGAAATGCCTGCATAGTCATTTTACAAACAAAATTAGAGAGAGGACATAGATTATGTCATAGATTTTATTGGGCAGTACTTTTGAAATGTTATGATAATTTTTGAAAAATCAAGAGCGCTAACTGATTCTTTATAACTTTTCTTTTTTTGGTAATATATGTGATTTGGTTAAAAATGACAATAAATAGAATACTCCTTTTGATACATTAGTTTCATTTTTTTTTTTACCTGAATCAAGGGGAGACTTGACACTTGATTAATTCTGTTTAAAAATTAGCAAAGTTTCCAACTTCTTTTTTTTAATTAAACTCATCCTTTAAAAACCCAATTTCAGAACGCATAAACCAATATTGAATAGAGACAATATGAGAGAAATATAATACATATTTCGTATGCTGCCTAATAAAAAGTCTCATACATCCTTTTTTTTTTTTTTTAAAAGCGGCTTAGAAGGGCAGGATGAAATATAAAAAGATATCAAAAATCATATTATTCTTAGGCAATGAACAGCATGATTTATCTTAAACTTCGTTTCTCTCTAGTTTTAAAAATATTTGGTATGGAGTGATTAAATAGTATAATGAACAGAAAGAAAAAACATTGATATCAATATTAATCAATATAAAATGTAAAATTTATAAAAAATTGTACAAACTTTAACTAAACTCTACATAATAACATTTCTAGCATCACCAAAAGAACGTCATATTAACAACGAAATTTATGTGGCAAGAAGAACAAAGAGAGCTGAAACGAGAGAAGCCTTTTCCATAATTTCTTTGTTCTCAAAATTTATGAAGAATTTATGTCAAATGAAGAGAAATGGTTGTGCTTCTTGCAATATTGGTTCAGCTCCTTATAGTTATACATATTTGTAGTGGAGGGGTATGATTATATGGTTAGTGAATTATGAATAAAGATTTGGATTTTATGAATTTTTTTATTCAGAAAATATTTATAATGGAATTTAATGCAGAAGATTTTAGAATAACGGAAAAATCTACATAACAAGAGAAATATGATTCCTTAAATAGTTTGTTGAAAATAAAACTAAAAGATTATATTAGGATAGAAAAATGCAAAGTAATTAATTCCTTAACTTTTTAAAAGAAAAATAACAAAGCAAAGGAAACGCAGATGTGGCTTCCTAGATGCTGAAGTGCGCAACCTGACAACTTGATTGGGAAGAATTTAATACTTTCCATTGAACCATTACATTTCTATTAAAATTTAATTTTTAGATGATTTAAAAAAAATTACTTTTGGCAATTGTACTTATAAAATTATTGCTTAGAAAAAGTTAATATGTTAAAATACATGAGCATTTTAAAAACTCAATGGTCCCATGTTTTATTTTCACATATATATATATTTGTTTTTCTTAACATTTCATTTAAATTTGAATGTAAAATATTATAATTAAAGTAAGTCCGAATCCTATTATTGGTGTAAACATCTTGATAGACGATCTGTAAATATCTTTATAAAAACTCTTTGAACTTAAAAACACGTCCAACTTTGATGACTTCAGAATCCAACTCACCCAAAAAAAAAAAGTTATGACTATAGGGTGAGAAGTGACAACTATACAAATTACAAGCGATCCACTTTACATCAAAAAAATTTTGGCCTACATTATAAATCATGCCTTTGTGTTTTTTCTTTTCGTTTCTCCTTTCACTGATTTTCTTTCCATTCTGCATACCAAATTATTAACGTTTTGACAAACGAACGAACAACAAACAGAATGGCATAGTTTCATAGGTTAAATACAATCCAATATATTACACTTACAAAATCCTTCTCTCTCCCGGTTAAGGTCTGAACTACTTGCTTCCTGCTTCTATGCTCAAAATCTCCCCAGTGCCTACTTGTCTGCAATCCTACATTAAATATAGCAAAAATGGACAAACAAAAGAAGCATATGGGCGGCTCTACAACTCTACAAGCATGTTTTCTACTGAAATAATGACCAAAACCTGTCCAAACTCTAATAAGCCCTTCATTTCAAAATCAACACCCTACCGAACATGCTCAAATCAACCACTACCTACAGCATTTCAAGCTACGGGAATTTTAGGTTCTCCCAAGTTCACAAAAGCCTCAGCTCGCGCTAAGCGCCCCATTGCAGCATCCCAAGAGACGAGGTGATCCATGAAGACATTCACATACTTTGCTCTGTCATTCTGTCCAACAGATCACACAAGGATTGTAAGGAAGACATCTTCAAAGGAAAGTAAGGCACAATTATACTTGCTTGTGGGTTCAGCTGTCCTTCAAGCAAAGCCCAATTAAACCCACAACCCTCGAGTAAAGCCTGAACTTGGACGTGTTTATGTATATACAAATAAAACGAGATATGGACCCTCCATGCATTGCACATAACCATAAAAATAAACTGTGTTGTCCATGGCTTATAAATTTTGTTCAGCTTTGGGGAAAAGAGGTCACCTGAATTTAACTATTTAACATGCATTACAAACAAATAACACCTTTCATCTAAGAAAAGACAAAAATATAAATTAATAGTCAATTTAGTCACAGTTTCATAACTAAGTGAACTTTTGTCCAGATAACTTTTATGACACTACATCTATTAGGAATAAATATAGAATTTCTTAGGTGAAAATTGAAGACTGAGGCTTGGTAAAAAGGATATGAAGAATGAAAATAAATGATGAATAGTAATGCAACTTTAATAGAGGTAACAAAAATTGGTGAATTTTGTTGTTTGGGCTTGGGCCAAGCCCAACTGACCATAAGCGTGTTGGGCTAGAATTGTAGATCCATTATATGGGGTTAATATGCCCATGGGCTGGTCAAGCCCATGATTAGCTACTCCACCAGCCATGAATATTGTTACGTACCTTGTAATCCAAATAATACGCATGCTGCAGAAAAGGAAGCAAAGTCAGTTTGTGATAGCTACAAATCACAAAATGACAGCGTGTGTGTGGTGTGAGTGTGTGTGCATGTGAGAGGGGGAAGAGAGAGAGATAAGCATACCTCCCACATATCCAAATTGATTATCGGCTGCATGACAAAAAGATTATCAACTCTAATGCTAATAATATCAACTCAAGTTATGGAGGGAAGTGAAACTGACTTACTATGTCATCCCACACAACTGGGCAAATGGCGTTAGATGTTTTTAGTATTTGAAGTCGTCTCTCTTCTCTGGTCACTGAATCAACCAAGCCATAAAGATTAGCAAAAGTCCCCAGCATAAATCAAAATACTTGACAATAGAGATGCATTTAACATATGTAATTCTCGGCACAATTTGCTATTCATTCCTAAGTTTCAAGAGGCACCAATGATGTAGGAGGCATTTGGTGGGTGAATATCTTAATTTTGCAGGACTTAGAAAGTCTTTGTGGTTCAACACTTGCTTCTGAGGAAGCATAGACAATGATATGGACACTGAACATGGCACTGTCAAAGACATGCAGACATATCTGAAATATCTAAATAGAATTTAAAATATCATGTGCGTATAATATGACTCTTGTACATGTATTGAACATGAACGTGACACCGTTTTTAAGTGTTTGTGCTTCATAGCGCTTGGGACATAAAAATCGCATTTATTCCTATATTATTTAGACTATAGACAACAAAAAATTTAAACTTCCTCTTCGTTATATTCAAACATCCTGAAGATCAATTATCTGACAGCCAAATAGCATCTTAAGGAAAATTTAGATAAGCAAAATAGACTGTCCAAGAGATATAAAGAAATTAGGGCAGTCTAGTAGGTTTAAGAAATAGTTTTTTGTAGTACATCCAAAATAAAGGGTACATGTAGTACTATTGTGCGGCTATATTAAATAGAATAACAATTAACATTTCAATAATATATGTTTTCTCCGGCCTTTTCCTTCTTTCTCTTCCACAAACATGTACCACCCACACACAACCTCTATGAGAGGCAATCAATTCAGAGGGGACTTACAAACAAGCCAAACCCAGCCAGAGCCAAACAATGTGAGGGCAGCTTCAATAAACTTCTCTCTAAAATTTGTAAACGAACCAAAATCCTTTTCAATCTGTTGAAGGAGACCTAGTTTGGGCATCTCACCCCCTCCTGGTTGCATAGATTCCCAAAAGAAGTCATGATTCCAAACCTGCACATGGAGGGCCATAAGTAGGTATAGCGTCTTAACGACACTAATACTAGATAAGACACTGTTTAGCTGTCTTAGTTGTAATTTTATTGCTAGATATTCTGGAAAATAAAAAGAGATTTACTTCCGTTATTGTCAATGAGATGAACAAGATAGGATATGCCAACAGACATGTCACAAAATGGAGCTAAAACAAAAGACACTGTTTAGCTGTCTTAGTTGTAATTTTATTGCTAGATATTCTGGAAAATAAAAAGAGATTTACTTCCGTTATTGTCAATGAGATGAACAAGACAGGATATGCCAACAGACATGTCACAAAATGGAGCTAAAACAAATTCATTTTGTAAGATGTGAGGGGGAAGTCCTCTCTTGCAAGTCCATAACAAGCACAGCCTTGTAATTTGAGGGAATTTTAAAATAAGACCAAAAGGGAGATATCTTCTTTAGACATGTACAGTTCGGAGGAAATTCTAACCAAGTATGGCTAAAATACATTAAATAAAATTTCATTAAGCTCAAAAAGCTATATATATATATTTATCAAAAGGTAAGCATCTGGATGAGAGGATAATATGTGGAACGGATGTCTCGTGTGCATCCATTTTGCTCTAGAAGATTTGAGCAAAATCAAGTTATTGCCTTCGTAGACCAAGCACTTTTACAGCCTGGCAACATGAACAAATAGCTACGGTGCAAAATTTTTTGGTTAACATGAAGGATAGAGATTCTCTGAGAAACATAAAGGGCAAGGCCCAATACCCATCCCCAGGTTGCATCCATGCATAAATAAACCCTTTAATATTGCTCCAAGTAAATTAACAAATAATATGTATGTTTACAGCCAATTCTGTTGTACCGCTTGAGCAGTTAACCAATGTCATTCTCAAGCTCCTTTTTATCCTATTCAACGCCGCTTGCTTCCATGCTGTAGCATTTGCATATCTATGTTGTACATACTGAAACAGTGGAATACTCTCCCTTTTCCAATGCCGAAGTGAAACCACATTTCTTTTTGGTGACAGAAGTGAAGCCATGTTATCCGTAACCAGTTCCAGATATCTTCAATTTTTTCCTTTCTAAGTATTGTTCTGTCTTACTTTACATCCACATAAATGTTATGGTATATATGCGAGTGATTCATATTCCAGCAATAACGATGAGATATGATTGCAAAGATGCAGTAGAAACGAAGCTACTAGATGCAGTCTATTGATGAGGGGTTTATAGCAAGAGATCATATTCAGTCCTCCACTCAATTATGTACCACCAAAAAAGGACACATTGGAAATATAATCCTACAGCTGAAAGATCAAGGCTCAATATTTTAATAGGTATGTATATACAGTTACAACACAGCCTATATTCAGCACATGTCACCGGAAAAAAAAAAATGTGGTTGTGAAAATTCTCTGCAATAACATGTACCTTGTCATTTGGCACGGTGATCAGCTACATTTTGTAAAGAAATTCTCCGCAATATTAATTTCTTACCCGTTACATTATTCTCTATATAAAATACTTTTTATGAAAGCAAACTCCTGCAGCCAACTCCATGATATTGAAGGAGGTTGTGAGAATTATGTGTTACGAAGTTTCCTTATTATGAAGTTAAAAGCACCTCATATGCTTTAATTTACTATATATAGATGCAAGTAGATTCCAAGTCTCAAACAAATGAAACAAATCATCGAAGTCAATCTACTGAATGTAATATAAGTACCTCGGCTGCATTGTTGAATTCTGGTAAGGGATTCCCATTATTGTATGTTTCTTTGACTAGCTCATCCATGGTGTAGCCATATAGTACGTCATCCTTCTCCAACTGCTTGTTTAAACCTTCCACAAAGTTCCGATGAAGTTCCCCCCAATGTACGTCAATTGTCCTCTTGCTCATATACGGCTCTAATGCATCCTAAGAACAATGAAGCAACAAATAAATGGACAAGTCAAAATTGGTTGGTCAACTGTATATACAAGGTTTAACTTGATATTTGCAAATAGTTGATTAATTATGTAGACTTTAGATCATGCATGATTGTGAGAGGAAATAGTCATTTGTCGGGAAAAAAGTTGTTGCCTGAAAACAAACAAATTAACAATGATTAATATGCGAGTCAGGTCACATTTAAGTTTTTATTATAATCCAAATACCTAAAAGGAAGCAAGAAAATAGAAGAGAAAGAAAGAAAGAAAGAAAGAAAAGTGAGCACGAACAAGCTGAACCAAAGTAAAAAATATAGCCTAAACAAATCATATTTCAAGTTATCACTATCGTGGTAGTTAAAAAAGAAATATCACGCAAGTTTATTAAGATTTGCCGTTCAGAATGAGGGGGAAAACAGTGGAAAGGAAGGAGAGAGACAATGCATAGAAGAGTGAGAAAAGATAAGCAGAAAGAAACTTGAGAATAGTTATCTAAAATAGCAGTTTTCTAACAAAAAGACACTCTTTACTGTGGATAAACTACCAGTAACTCCTTACTTAATCTACAAGAATTTAATTGATGTTTAATAACTCAGCTAACAAGTCACGTGTAAAATGAAAGCGCTTTCAACAATTATCTTTTTTATATGCTCATTGCCGTGGTAGTTGATGCATGTGCCAGCACAATAAAACGATCTTTACGCTTGCACATGCACAAACAAGTTTATAATTCTGTGAATATTCACTTACAAGTTTATAGGGAGGGGTCTTCAAGCCATAAAATGCAGTAACTTTTGAAGATCTTGGAGAAACATCAAACCTTCTTTTGGCCTGTGTTGATGACATAAAAAATAAGCACATACTAGATAGGGTTGCCGTGCCACAAAGATGAATTTCTCATAACAAAAGACATAAAGAGAATGTCAATGATATGAAAGTAGTCTATAGAAAATGCAGAAAAAACAATTTGCCCGGTCAACTACCATTGCAGTAAATCCCCAAGGACTAAAATTTTTTTTTTTTTTCAACAAAAGATTAATGTGGTGTCCCGATAAGCACTTCATGTTGTCATGAACCCGTTATGCAAATATATATATATATTTCCATGTGCATTAGTCGACCAACATTAAGCAATGTTCTCAAAGCAATTCTTGTTAATAACTTATTCTCCTTCAAGATTAAAAAAACAACAATTTTGTCAAAAATATGGAAAATTCCGTAACTGAAATCCTGCCCATGAAATTAAATTTTTCATTTTTAAATCCTAATTTCCTAAAGTTGTATGACAGCTTAAATTTTTATAACATGAAACAATTTTGTACGATTGTCATACAAGCCATAAAGATTACTTCACATTATACATCTTAAAACACAATCTAAAAATGGTGGAATTAGCATCATACTCTTTGAAAAACAATATGCAAGAAATACTGACAACTTACCTTTAGTGCAACAATTGTCCATAGCTTTAAGGTAAAGAAAGTTAAATAACATGAAAGAACAATAAAATAATCAAACAATGAATATCAGTGGTAGGATGTTACCCTGTGGAGAAGCTGTGGAGTTTTTAACTGCCTGAGGAAGTCTGATGAAATGAAATGAGATCTAGCTGGAAAAGAATTACAGCAATAAGAAGCCATTGCTACTCTGTTCCCTGGAATTAACACAAGTTTATCAGATCATTGGTTAATGATTACTTGTGCTACACAAAGCAACCACTTTAATCCCAAACAGTGAATGCGATTTAAACATTCACTCCGGTGTCATTTTCAAAATCTCAATAGACCAGGATACAGAGCAAAGGAATATATATCTGGGGATGGATAAAACAGTAACATAAACATTGAAAAATTCAGACATCTCCAAAGAATAGAAGCACAAACCTCTACTACTACAGATATATCATGTATTAGAAATACACCAACTTCCATCTCGGTTGAGTCACTTTGACAAATATGCTATTTCCTTTTTTATGGGTTGAACAAAATATTTGTGTTGTATTCCAACCCACATGATCTAAGAGGCTTAAACTCGAATAAAATGGACAAAAATATTAAAATTCAAAACGTCAAAGGATTGGTGATCTAAATCAAGATGTAACAAGACTGAATTTACAGGTTAACAATATATTGACTTATAACTTATTCAGTTAATTTTTCCAAATATAGGAATACTTTTACCTGAAACTAGGTTATAGATGTCCTGTCATTCTTATTTGCCATCTCCTTTTCCTATATGGTTACAATAACATATAACAAAAAAAATAGGAAGGATGATTCCACCTTCTCAACAGTCTACAATGACATGGACCTACACAACTCTAGCTTCTTCATAATCTGTGAACTCAGTTTATGTCTCGATCCAACTATATGCTAGACCTTTTGCAACACCTCTGTCAGTCATTTTCCTCCTCAAGTTCGCAGCATCCTCCCAACTACCACTTTCAGAGTAAACCTTTCCTAACAGTACATAACCTGCCTCACTTTCAGGAAATAATTGAAGTAACCTCCCAGCAGCCCACTCCCCCAATGCTCTATTTTCATATATCCTACAACCGCTGAGTAAGGTTCTCCAAATAGCTGGCCAAGTAGGAAATGGCATTGCTTCTATTACCAATTTAGCATCTTCAAGGTAACCATTTCTCGAAAGCATATCAACCAAACAACCATAAATTTCAGGAGATGGTCTCAAGCCATAATCTAAACTCATTGATTGAAAGAGAGAACAACCTACATGGATAAGACCATTATGACTGCAAGCTGATATCAACGAGATGAATGTGGCTTGGCTAGGATGTACGTTAGCTGATTTCATCTTCTCAAAGATATCCATAGCTTCAACAACAAGACCTTGGTGTGCATAAGCCATGATCATGGCATTATATATAACAACATCAAGCAAATTGAGAGACTGGTCAAAAGCCACTCTTGCATTCTCTATGTCTGAGCATTTTGCATAGGCATCAATAAGAGCACTTGCAACAAATGGATACACACAGCATCCCAATTTTATAACTAAAGCATGAAAAGATTTCGCCTGTTGATAAGCTGCAACACTAGCACAATTATTTAAAATACTGGCCAAAATAAAATCATCAGGCCTTTCACCAGCTTTCATAAGCAGTTGCAAGAATTTGAATGCTTCATGATTAAGGCCTTGATGAACCAGTGAAGAAATCATGGTTCCCCAAGAAACCAAATCTAACTTCTCAGGTTCATTGAAGAACAGGTAGCAATCATCTAGTAGCCCAAAGGTACTATAACATTTAATTAATAAACTACAAATATACTCATGCGAATGGAATCCAGATTTAAGGAGGTCACAGTGAAGCTGTCTGCCAATCTCTTGGCTTTCAGATCTACAACAAGCTTCTAGAGTGTTTGAGTAGGTGTATTCATCTGCTTCAAAACCCAATTCTCGCAGATTATTGAAGTCTTTGATTCCTTCTTCATAGAAGCCGTTTATAATATATCCAGAAATCAACTCATTCCAAGTATTTATGTTCAAACAAGGTGCAGTGTAGAATGCAGTGCATGCCATATCCATTTTCCCACATCTAGAGAACATACTGATTGCTGAATTTATGATGCTGACTTCATCAAATAGTCCAAAATGCAGGGAAGCACAATAGAACTGAAGCCCAAGACCAAGATTATGTAAGTACCCACATTTTCTAAGCAATCCAGAAAAAGTGACATTATTTGGTTTGCCACCTAGTATCATTAGATTATGATATAATGTAACAAGGTCTCTTGCATTTCCATTCTGAGAAAAGCCTGAAAATGCAGTATTCCACGAGATGATGTCTTTGTCCTGAATCCGACTGAAAACCCTCAAAGCAGAGTCCTTGTCACCACTTTTGAAATACACATCCACAAGAGCATTCATTACTGAAGTAATACACTCCACCTTACTTTGAATAATAAATCCATGAATTTGTTTTACGCATTGCAAAGCTCCCATGGTTGAACATCCCTTGAGAGCACTTATAAAGGTATATTTGTCCATTTTCACACCTACATATGGCATCAATGTCAACAATTGCAAGGCTTTAAAGTCACATTTACATTTGATATATCCTCCAATCATGGCATTCCAACAACCAGCATCTAGGTCTTTCATGATATCAAAAACCAACTCAGCAGATTCAATATCTCTCAACTCAACATACATGTTAAGAATTGATGTACTTACAAATGGGTTCTGATCCAACCCAATTTTTAAAGCAGAACAGTGAACGGCTATAACAAGCATGCGCACTCCCAGAGTAGCACATGCCTTCATCACACTGCCAAGAGCAAACTCGTTTGGCCTCAACCCAGCTTGTAACATTTCCACAAATATGTTTAAACCAAATTCAAAATCACTATTTTGAATTGCACCTGAAATCACTATAGTCCATGACACCAGATTCTTTTTAGCCATCTCCTCAAACACCTTACAGCCATATGACAAAACTCCAACTTTGAAATACGTCTTAATCAAATTATTCTGTGAGAAAATGTCATTAGAAAATCCCAACTTGATAACATGAGAATGGATTTGATCACCGAGAGACAATGATTTCAAATCTGCAGAAAGCGAAAGTGCAGTTGCAATGGCAATTTGGTCTCTTTTCTCTAGGAGATCAGAGAATGGCAAGAAGGATTTGCACATGTGAATTTGGAATCCTTTTAAGAATGGGTTCAGTTGGGAAGGTCCATAAGCAAGGGAAAACAAACATCTTGGCTTTGCAGTAACAAGAGCATGTCCTATCCTTCCCATTAATTTCAACACAAAGCTCTGTCCAATCATGCAGACAACTTTTGTAGCATCTAGGAAAATGGTGCCAAATTATTTCTGTTAAAAACCATATCGTGTGTAACGTCACTCACAATGTAAATCTCATCTTCAATCAGCTATTAAAGTAACAATCAAGCAAAATGATAACATATAACAAAACCACCTTCCATACTGAACTTTGGATCCTACTGTGTGCTATTGTTAAGAAACATAGTACTTGAATCCTCTAAAAGAATCTAACCCAACTTATGTCTAAAACGTTTAAAGCTAATTCCAACAAGAGAAGAAGTCAAAATTTGACAAACAATGACACCACTTTGAGCACAAGACTCAACCTGGTGCAAACATGGACAGCTAATGATGTGATGTATGAACATATAGAAATATGAAGCCATACATTATTCAAAGGAAGAATTTTGAAATTGAGTAAATGCACAATTTAGTCTACTAAAATATAAAATTTTGAAATTGAGTAAATGCACAATTTAGTCTACTAAAATATAACTCCTATCATTTGATTCGTTGGATTTATTATTCTACACAAGTTAATCCTCAAAGTTTGTAACTCTGCGTATGCACCAACTTGTCAATTGTCCAGAGATGCGTTAACATTAAATTGTATAAGACAATAAATCTAAGAACAAAATTTAATAAGGTATGTGTTTTCAGGGACCTATTTACTCTATGTATTTTCAACAGGTCAAAGGCAAGCACCAAAGACCAAAATTGTTACGTATCTCAAATTATAAGATTTTAATGGAGGAGGGGGGGATAAATGAGGTTTTTTTTTGGGGGGGGGGGGTGTTGGTTGCATTTGCACTCTCTATCTGGAGACACCTTGGACTTTGATCAATCCAGTCCAAGCCAGGTGGGACCAAAAAAGTAGAAGGATCTTCCAATGAGTATTTAATGCAGTGGCACCTAGGGCTCAAACTGAAGACCTCTAGTTAAGATAAGACACAGCTGAGAGGGGAGAGATTTTACCTTATTTGGTTCATGAGGAGAGAGGGGAAAAAATAATAATACTCGGACAAAATGCCCTTATCCCTTTATCCTGTTTTTCCTCTTCAATGTGAATTAAATAAAAACTTACATACAACTTGAAGATAAGTTTATGCCAATGCATAATCAATTCATTATATCTCAAATTAAAGATGTAAAGATGGCAGGGCCATGGCTCATGGGTACATTGCTATATAATGACAACTGCCTATGCATCACTTGTTATAGGGACAATTTCTTTGCCCGATATCTATGTCACCTTTTCAAAAGAGTGAGAGGGACACGATGATATTTAAGTGTTCAAGCTCTCAAGCAAAGAGCATACAACAAAATATCAGCAAAAAGCTATGTCCTCAAAATATCAACAAAAGAGTGAGGAGGACACCACGCTAACCATGCAGCCGCATACTAATATTAACTTTTACCTCCAGGACCCAGGTGTGAAATCACAGAAAATGACCAAAAAAAAAAAAAAAATCAGAGGTAAAAGTGGGCATCATGCACATTGAATCATAGACTCCTTGTGAGATTCTTCTAATTTTTATCAAAATAATCCCAAACACATCACATGGGACTTGGAACTTGGACTTAGAAAGAAGAACCGTAAACCACATTGCCATAATGAACAGGGCTACATAACGATAATTTTTTTCAAGTAATATCAAATGATCTGCAATAAGATTTACACAAATCAGATTCATAGCTTTTCCGCGACTGATATTTATTTTGCCTCCATGAAATTTGGAAAAATAAGCAGGGGCGAGCAGAACTAGAAATTTATAATATTTATGCTATGGATTAGACTTTAGAGAATCAATGTGGATCAAACTTAAGATAAAAGTTGAATAAACATATGAACTGGACGAAAAGAAAAAAACATATGAACTTAAATAATTCAACACATTTCATCAGAAAATCAAATTCCCTCCTTATCTAGATTACCCAGTCGAACACCAAGTAAAAACAGAAAAGAAGAAAGGAAAAAAAAAATCTTCGAGCCTAAAACAAGTGCTCAGCAGCACCACCGTGATTCCACCATAACCAGAGAAACCGCATAGTGAACAACGAAAATGCAAGAATAAGCGCAGAAACAGTGAAGGAGAAAAAATAGAACAGAGGGGGACGACGACGAAACCTGAAGGAAGACGGCGACGGCAAGCTCTTCTCGGCGATGAACAACGGAACTATGATTCTATCTATAAAGGCTGGAACAAGCTTTCAGAGGTTCCCTTGAAGCCAAGAGGTAGTGGAGAGAGAATTATGCTTTAAATTCAGAAATGGAGAAAATATCTTGAAAATGAGTGAGGCGTTAGAGTCCTTCTTGCGCTTCGCGAGTTGGCGCTCTGGTTCAGAACGAAAGCAGATGGCGTTGCGTTTGAAGAAGAAAGGATAAATAATAACTGTATTTTTATTTTTTTTATTATATAAAACAACTCTTTTTTTATAGTTTTTAATTAAATAATTTTAATACTGAAAAATGATTATCCTTTAGTTCGATTATTATTTATATTTTTTTGACCAGATGATTATTATTTATATTGTTTAATTAAAATAATAAATAATAAATGTGTTATCAATATTATGTGGATGTCCATTTATCCTTTCCTCTTCATCTTCTCCAAGTAACTTCCACTACCTCCACCATCCATTACTCCTCCACTATCCATTCACTCTTATAACTCACCTCCATTCACATTCATGGGATTGATTATCCACTATTTGTCATTTAAGAATAATTGTAACCTATGTGTAAGATTATGCCTATAAATAGAACATGTCATTTGTGTTGTAATGCAAGTGAAGAAATACAAAAAGTTCTCTCCTTCTCTTGTCTTCATCTTTCTACTTTTGTGGTTTCATTTTGATTCTATTTCATAAGAAAATGTTTATTGTTTTGAAGTAACACTACTCCTGTAATTAACTAGATAAGCGGGCATGTTTAGATTATAGTTTAAACAAAAATCATGTCTTCATTTAAAATTAGCTAAATATATACAAAATTGAAAAAATCCTTTAAATTCAATCTCTAATAGTTTTATACTTTACCTTTATTTAATAGTCCTTTAGTCCTTAATACAAGACCCATTTAACTAATTTGATTAGATTAAGAAAGTTAGGTAAGTTAGTTAATTATAAGAAAAGTGACACATTTTTCCTAAAACACCATAATCATCTTTCTTAATATCCCCTCTCCCTCTTCTACTTGGTTATAATTGAGGGAATATCCATAAGGGTAATTTAGAAAAAATTAATAAATATGATAAATGAGTTTTATATTTAGGACCAAAACCAATTTAAAAATTAAGTCATATATTAAGGACCGGATGAGTATATTCACTTTCTAACAAAATAACGGTAAATAATATATTATGTTAAAAGATTTAATGATAAATAGTACATAATTTTTTAACAATCTATGGCCGCATATCCTAGAGTAACTTTAGTGCAATTTTGGCAAGTGTTTTTAGTAATAAACCCTATAAATTTAGGATATTAAGTGTTATCAAAAAAATGTTTTAATATGTTAAGTACACAGAAAATTATTTAAAATATTAGGTATTAAAGAAAAAGTACTTCAAGATATTAAATGCATCAAATATTTGTTTAGCAAACTGAGTAATAGCAGAGAACTATTTCAGAATGGGAGCTGCCATTAACCAAAAGCCCCTGCTTGACATGTTTTAAATCGGAGGTTTTATTATCTTGTTCCTTGTGAATAATCTATAAACAACATTTAAGAGCCGCACAAAACAAAATTTTTTTTGCCAAATATATTGTTGAGAGTTGGGACTTCTTGTTGTCCAAGAGGATAAGACATAAACAGAATGGTAGCTCTTATAATTTGTTCATTATTGGCAAGAACTGCTGCCTGACCAGCAACTTTATTCAATTATAATAAAAACATAAAAATTGTACAACCTTGAATTTAATAAACAAAAATGTAAAATTAATTAATGTAGATTTCACTTTCATCAGCAATGTACCAAATAAAACAATGAACTGTTTCTCTTCATTTCTTACCTATCAGGCAGTCATTTTTGTAAACTCTGGTCAGAATAACAAAATCTAGTCCACATATTCAACATTTTTTTCCCCACAAAATCTTGAAGGCTTAATCAACAGGAGCCAATCTGCAACAAGAGCCACTACATCTAGAAGTCAGTGTCTTGATTCCTTCAGACAACTTCAGAGGTTCAAATCATCAAAAGAAGATGGAAAAAGGGAGCTTAATGCTACGCTGGTATTCACTGTTCACCAGCCATTGTCTTGATAGTATCAGAATTATTTGAAAACATGATACTATCTCCGGTCCTTAATATAAGTGTTTATTTAACTTTTATTTTAGTTCTAAATGTAAAACCCCAATACACTTTGTCTCTCATATTTATTTATTTATTTTTCTCAAAGTAGTTCTTGTAATAATAGTAGTTATAGCCAATACACTTTAACAAGGATATTTAGAAAATTTAGAGAAGACAGCACATACTTAGTACAATGAACTAACTTAACTAATTTTTTTAATCTACTCAAATTAGTTAACTAATTATTATATTAAGAACAGGAGGTAGTATTATCAAACAGTTAGGGAAAGACAAGCCAAAAATTGTATCACTAATCAAAAGATGTCCGTGTGAAGTTGGTATAGACACCAGGATCGATAATGCTGAGGCAACAAACCAGTAAATATTTGCCGCATGCTGTGCCCAAACCAACGTTGTCTAGTAAACAAGAAGCCCTTTGTTAAAGTTTACTACAGGAGAAATACACAAGAATCACAAAAGACCATCATGTGCATGACCAGCTGACATGCTATCTGATATTGCGCATTTGATATAACAAAAAAATTGCTAGAGTTGCTCATGCATTCAAAAAGAAAAAAGAAACAGGACGCGCTCCTAATATTCTATCAGTACCCTGTTTTTCTGTGGTCTATTATTCCTAGGTCCCCGTCAGTGTCACACCACTAAAAGGCCCGTTGATTAATACCGGAAAAGAGACAGATAGAATAATAATTTTATGGATAGAAGTATAGAACTTAGGTGCAGGTTCTTAGATATTTGCTATCAGGGTCTTCGATAGAATACTGACATTCTGCTTCAAATTATTTAACGTTGGTGGTAAGCTGAGGAAATATTACACTATTTGCTTCCTCCTTCACTCTTCACCGAGCTCCTGGTAAGAAATAATCATATTTTTTTATTGGCAAAATAAATTATTTTACAAAAAACATATTTACTTATTTTATTAATATATATTCATATTAATTTTTTTATTTATATTATTTATGTCTTATTTATTATGTTGCCAAAATATATATTATTAACAAATTTATTACTTCAAATAAACATATATTATGAAATATATCTTATACGTAATTATCATTTAAACTTATGTCCTTTTTAGTAATTTCTATATATAAAAAAGCATTTATGACAATAACTATCCAAACACTCTTACTTTATCAGAATCACTTTTTTAGAAAATCTATTCTCTTCAGAATCTATTCTCCAGAAGCTATTCTCCAAACCATAATTTTGCTTCATCCAAACACCCCCGTAGAGTAGAGTAGAGGGCCTTTCCTCTCATCAAGAGAAGACAATATCAAGAAGAAAGAGGAAATATCTAATGGACAAAACTTAGGTCCATTTCTTCACATCTACTAGATATTAGATCCAATTCTCCAAACAAATCTCAGCACATGGATTTTTTTTTCAACAATAGAAACTCCGAGGATAAAAACTCAAAATTCAGTTAGATCATCATCGATAATAAAAATCACATTAGGAAAGATTTGATTGGAGAATGGGATATAACAGGTTTGAGCAAATGGACCTAAGTTTTGTCAACTATGAAACATTTCCAAACTATCAGACACCATCGACACATTTACAGATATGAAACAAAAGCTCTTTGATGGAGAACTCACTTCCATTGTAGTGATGCACACCCACTTTGGCAAGCATTGCATAATATTCTATCTCTGGTTTCCTTAAAGGTGGGCAATTGTTGGCAATTATAATTAGCTTCCCTGCAAAGAGAAGAAGAAAAATTATCGAATCTCTAATGTGTAGTTCTACACCATTAGCAAATTCCATATTAGCATATACAAGATTTACCTACTACAGTCTTATTTAAATTATCTTTTCAAAACTTTCCAAGAAATTGATTCTATTCAAATGCACCCAAAAAAAGTCTTCTATAGAACTTCAAAATCAGTGGCATCAGAATTTTTTAAAAAAGTAAAAAGGTAAAAGAGAATTTTATTCATCAGAAGAAATATATGAGGTTATGTGAGTTACCTAGCAACCTTTCATCATCCACCACTTCCTTACAACAAGGTAGGGATGATTCAAAAGTACAAAAATCATAATTAATTTCAGGAGTAAACCCAAGTACAGAATTAGCACAATAGTTGGCTTCTATATAGATAAAATTCACAGACAACTGCTAAGTCCCAGCTAGTACGGACTGAGCAGCAACAGCAGAAATTTGACTACATCGACATGCAACTCCCGTTAACCTGTTTGAGCAAATTTAGATCTCCAAATCCCTCCCAAAAGGCAGTACTCTGATTTATATACAGGGCAATATTAAAAAAAAAAAAAAACCCAAGGCTGCATACTTCCTAATTACAACTAATTTGACTAATGAAACATGCAATTCCCTTTAACCTGTTTAAGCAAATTTAAGATCTCCAAATCCCTCCCAGAGACAACATTCTAGTCTATATACAGAACAATATTCAAAAAACCCAATGCTACATACTTCCAAATTACAGCTAATAATAATCAAGATATTTCTTAACCAAACCCATGATTTTAAAGCAGCTCATGAAGTGGAAGGTAGTCAGAGATGGAACCAAGGCACTGTAATAAAACAGTACCTTTTGAGTTCCCAAGGGAATTCAGAACCGTTTTATAACCCAAGGCATATTTCCCACTCTTCATCGCCAGGGCGATTCTGTTGTTGATACTCTCATGGGTCTTCTTCGGCCAAAGGGCAAGGGCGACCTGAATTGTATGGAGACGGATTCAGCTAAATTTAATACAATCACATTAAATAATGAAATTATTTTCAAAATTGAAAGTTATTATGGACTTTGAAGAGATTATTAATTTATTATAAACTTATAAAAAAAAAAGGTCATGATTTTTAATAATTCTTCTCTTGTACAGCTCTTTCCAGTGGTGATGAAGGCAGAGTTAGTCAATTTTGAGGGTAAAAATGAATATCACTGCACAAAAGGATCACAAAAGCAGCACTTGCTTATCAAAATAAAAGAACCTGGCTGCAAAGCTTTACAAAAGAATTAAAAAGGAGACATTTATTTAATGTTTTGATAATGACATTAATGATTAAACTTAGTTAATTTTTTGGTCCTTCAACCTAATTACTACCTCCTGCCATTAATATAAAAACTAACTAACTAATTTAAGTAAATTAAGATAATTATTTAAATTAGTTATTTGTAATAAATATATTGTGTCTTTCCTAAAATACCCTTACTAATTAAATGTTATTTGAAGAAACATTTAACATGTGCAATATAAAGAGTATCTTTAAAAAATAAATATAAAATATAAAATAAATTAAGATGTTATATTTAGAATTAAATTAAAAGTTAAACTGTTATATTTAGAATTAAATTAAAAGTTAAACTAACTCTTATATTAAGTACAAGACATAGCATAATTTTTATGGCCCTTTTGTGATAAAAATTAGCTCATAGAGGCCCTTAGTTTCCCTCCACGGTCTTCATGCTCAATTGGGCTTCATGCATTAACTTTCATCATATTTGTATCAAAACATAATTTCTTTGTTTCCAAAAGCAGCGTGGTTCTGAAAGTTGATTGAAACTTTTCACGTGTCAGGGAAAAATAACTTAATCGCAATAACATCCTTTTCAGAATTACTTGATGATACCAATCAATAAGCAGTTTTTATCTAATTTAATGAATCGTTCTCACCAAAAACACATTGAGCTATTGGAAAGAAAAGCAAGAGTAACAATGCACAAAAGCAAATCACAAAACATCTGGTCTAAGCCACAAGCCCACATGGCATATCAGTACCATGCTAGCTGAGAACATGTGCTACAAAAGTGATTGCCAGAGGCCAGAGCTATAACATAATCCCCCAGTCAGTATGGCCATTTAAAGCTAGAATAAAGCATAGAGATGAAACACCAGGACACGAAAGATTTCACTGCTATTGTGAGGCCAAGGTTGATGTTCCGGCTTCTACAGGTACAGAACCACCAGCTGGTCCTGATCCTGTTGGTGCTGACCCTGAGGGAGCAGACGAACCCGGCTGCATGGATTGCTGATATGGCTGGCTTACTGCCGGTGGCTGAGATGTAGCCATCCCAGGGTTGTATGGTGGTGGGTACTGTTGATAAGCAGGTACAGGTTGCATATAACCGTATGGAGGAGGGGGATAATACTGATGATGGTGATATTGCCCAGGTGGTGGAGGCATCATTGGATGGGCATAATGCTGCATTTGCTGCTTCTCCAAATTGGGCTTGTTGTTCTCTCCGGTCCCAGTAGCTCCACCAGGAGGACCACCATCTTGAGAGGGAATAACAGCACCCATTCTCTGAGGATCCATTGATGGATAGTAGCTTCTATCTTGCTGAGGAGGAGGTGGAATGTTATAGTAATGCACTCCCTGGGTTTGATCCTGGCTCTGCTGCTGTGATATGACAGCTCGAGGCAACAGCCCACTATGCGCCACAGATGCCTGCTGCCTTGCTTGATCAGAACTTTCGGAGTCGGGTTTTGCAGTCTGAGGTCTGCCCCACATCAGCTTCAACCTTAGGCCCTTGATAACTAGCTTGTTGGAGAGCTCTTCTGCTGCTTTTTCTGCACCCTCTCTGGTTGTGTAGGTTACAAATGCACAAGCCCGTTGGAGCACCATCTTGATGGATTCTATTTCACCATGGGCATAAAAGTGATCACGAAGATCCTGCTCACTGACCCTAGCATCAAGCCCACCAACATAAAGAGTTCTAATGGTCTCATCCTCTGGAGGCTCCAGAGAGGTCATCTCTCCTGCCTTGCCAAGTAACTTTAATGCCACAGGATCGTTCACCCTACAAGATTAAAATACACAACAAACAGAATATCCCATGACAGAAAAAATCAAAATAAAAAATGTTAAGTAACAAATAATGGCAAAGTTGACGTAACAAAAATATTCAGTTAAAAGAAATTAACAGAAAATTAGAAAACAAAAGGAAAGTAATGTGAGTTCAAGCGTAATTACTGTACCCAGTATCCGAAAAGAAATAAGAAATTATCCAAGCATCAAGTTAATCTGATTTATTGATTGTCACTCTTACTGCAGACAGAATGTACGAGAAAAGAACCATGCAACAAGCTAAATTTAAGTGAATCATATCCAGCAAGCAGTCTAGATTAAATAAAGAACATGAACCTAGCCAGATGCTATAGAAAACAAAAAATTAACCAGCTTGCAAATATAGATGGTTATATTCCAGTAATGAAAATATTTCCCTCAACTAGGATCCTAAAATGCTAATCTATATATAAAATGTATAATATAATTTTATTGGAAACTACACTATATACGCGTTGTGGATAGTGAGGCCCACCTCAAGCTCCAAAGTTAAAACGGAAAAAAGAACTCAATGCAGAAAAGCTCTAATGATATGCGGCTCTTAGAAGCATAACTATATCAAGACATGGCAAGAGGCAAGAAAAATCACAGCAAACTTGTCATCATAGTTCCACAGCAAGTATCTCACAGAATGACAACGGATCAGCTAACACGATTGTCTAAGACACAACGATGACCACTTTCTCAGAGAGTCCCATGCACAGAAAGCTTGAGTTACAAAAAAATTATGGAGAGAATGGGAGCAGAACTAGGGGAGAGAGAGCAATCAGGTACTATAAAAATATATGACCAAAGTAGGAAGTCATTTGCAACTACACATACCCATAATAACGATCTTTGATATTTTGTTGTGACAACTCCCCAGTTACTGGCATCTCATGCCTATAAGGGCATTCAGCTCCTCTGGTACACTCACCCCTTATGTAAAAACTGCAAATATGAGCCCGGTTTCTTTTGTAGTATGGTGTTGTCCTTTGAAGCTTCAAAATAGTATCATTCGGGCGTACTTTCCCATATGAGGATTCATAATCCAAGCCAGCTCGAGTCTAAACCATAATTCATTTGTTAGTCATAATTGATTTGATGGTTGAGAAATTCTTGAAGTAACGAACAAAAGGAATAAGATCAAATCCAACAGTCCAAATTATATAAATTCAGGTGAAACTGAGAAAAATTGAGAAAGAAAAGCAACAATGAATATATAAATCCAATAGAATTTAATTCTTCAGATTGAACTAATAAAAATGACTAACATTTGATGAGACGTCATTATGACAGAAACAACAATCATTGTATTGACATATAATCATAGGTCGCACTAGGCTTTTGGAACTGTGGCTGGAATACAGCCACATAAACACAACTTCTAAGTAAGCACATAGTTAAATTAAATCATCAAACTTCCAGATGTAAGAGAAGGTTGATCCATAATTACATTAGCAATGACCTTTGATAGTTTGTTGTAACCACTATAGGGGAATTCATTAGTTATTTGCAGCAGAGTAACTATAGTTAAATCAAATTACTGTAAATAAGACAGGATAAGATAATCCTGTATGAACTTTTCCTAGTAAATCAAATTGTATTAATGCCATACAAGGCTCCTACATAGAGAAAGCAATGCACCTCAATTTTTAAAAAAATATGAATATGAATCATATATTGAAGATGGCTTTCTCCGTTGGATTCTATAGTTACCTATCTGTTGCATAGCCTTATTAATCCCCTTCTGTACTCCCCCTGCAACACTTCCTAATAACTCACCCACATGATTTATAGACCAGAAATAAGTTAAGCCATCTCCTTGGCCTCTTCCTTTTCTTTATATGGATAAGCAGATGATATAATTAACTGAGCTACACAATGCTGCAAATTTATAAATGTTCATGGCTAGCATGCATCGATTTTACTAAAGATGGTCTATCACTGTAATAAATTTTATAAAATGAGACAGCTCAAATAAAAGTGATTCAAGCAATGAAAAGCAAAAGTAATCCATGAGTGAGACTTGTCAAAATAGTAGAAGTAGAAACCGGTCATTTGTTAAGCTATCTGCACATTGCAAAGGCTTCTTCATTTTAAACCCTCATAGCCAAAAAAAGAAAAAAAGACATTCTATACAAAACGAAACTCTGAAAGTGAACATAGGATGAAACAATTTCTATCTTGCAGAACACCAGTGTAGCAGTCTTTAAAATTATGGGCAATTATCATCAACTACAAGATATGGTAGTAAAATAATCATACCTTGCGATCGTGCTCTTCAGCAAAATACTCCCGATTAACATCACTCTTGGGAATAGCATCATGGGAACTGATACTGAGAGCCGTATCGCGGACTTGTACTGGTAACCCATACTCAAGATCCAGAAGGCAGACTTGACAAACGTTTTTCAATTTACTACAGGTTTGGCAGATTTCAGTTTTCTTATATCTTGCATCTCGACCAGGTCTCCATCTAAAAACAGTAAATGGCCGTGTACAAATTTTACACTCCTTATCATAGTCAGCTCTCGTCTGCATCCGGGTATACCCATAAAAAGAGGAATTAAATAAGTTAGCTAAACAAATTTAACTTCCTCTGAGAAACATGCTAACGTTTGAAAATGATTATTGCGAACTCTCTTGACAGCTTATAATGCAACTGAAATAAAGAATTTAATGGTAGACTACAAGTTCATGACTCTGCAAAGGGCAAGCTTGGTTTTCACGAACAAAACTAGATTCAAACACCCATTACAAATTATAGGTACTGGAATATTGATTCTTCAGTTACTATTTGGTAATATAGTTAGGCCTTCAATTAAGCGCGGAGCGTGCCAGATGAGTCAATATGAATGTGTTGCTCCCGTAACCTTAATTTATGAGGGGAAAACCCCCAAAACTGTGGGGACTACGATAGCTTCTTCTACACTAGAGACTAGCACCCACTCACAAGTTTACAATGTCATAAGCCTGAGTTATAAATTCTTCTGGACAACCATATTCCAAAAGCTAACTTATCACGCAGGAAAGCCCAATACTTCTATAAGCCCCTCATTATAAAATCCCATGAACATCCTAAATTTTAATTTTTCGGGATACGAAAGCGCTCGACAGAATCAAAAAGAACTTTTAGCATCGTTTATACTCATTAAAAGGGGTTAAACCGAAGAGGGACGGCGAAAAATACATACCATACGAACATATGGGTTGTCACCGAGGCAAGATTCACAGATAATAGGAAAGTCAGATCGTTCCCACCCATCTGCTTCATGATCCCTCAGCAACCTATGCGCCATGCTAAAATCTGAACTTGGTTGAAAGATCCCTAATTCTTAGGTTCTTTACCTACTTTGCTTCGACGAGCCCTCGGCAAACCTCAGACGCTAATAGAGAGTGGCTTCGGCCCCAGGAACAACAAATATTATTGTCTCGAAATCCCTTTGCTATCCAAGGAGGGGTCTGGCTTCTCTCCGCTGCGGTTAGAGTCCGCTGCCTTAATGCGGACCGTTTGAAGCAAAATGACAAGGGAGCGAGAGGAGGAAATGCCTAGCTAATGTGAATCCCAGTTTGTGAACCCACCCGCCCCAAAACAATTTTTTATTAAAAAAAAAATCTCAGTTAAAAATCTTTTTTAGCCTCTTCATTAAACAAATGCATAAGAAGAAGAGAAAAATTATTTAAAAAACTATAAACTATCTTTTTTATCTGAAAACTTTAAACGTTTTTGTTAATGAAAAATTAAATCTGAAGACTTAAAGTTTGTTAATTTAAAAAATTATTACTAAACTTTTTAATATTATATTTTTCCAACGTTTTCTTTTAAAATGATTTATTTTTATTGAAAAATATTAACCAAACGATTCATTGCTTTATAAAATGGCAACGAAAAATTTTTAAACGATTGTCAAGGCATAAAATGAAAATAAATTAGAAATATAAATATATATACTATCCCTAGTTTTAATATAAGAACTAATTTAATTTTTAATTTTGTTTTAAGTATAATATCCTAATCTATTTTATATTTTATAGTTATTTATTTTTTTTAAAATAGTCCTTATAGTAGTTACACATCATAAAATTTTTATTAAATAGTATTTCTAGTCAATATATAATATTAGTAAGGATACTGTAGAGAAGATAACACCTATTTATTTTTAATAACTAACTTAACTAAATTTTTAAATATCTATAAATTAATTATGTAGTTCTCATGTTAAGGATTAGAAGTAATATTAACAATAGAAAATGATGTGAAATAAAGGTTAATTTTTTTCTCTTTTTTTCCTGGGTTAATTTTTCTCCTTTTCTTATATATTTGGTTAATTTTTGGCAACAAAAATTATATATTTGTTTAATTAATAAAATAAGTCTTCAGATGTGATTTTTCATTAACAAAATCGTTTGGAGTTTTCCGGCAAAACATGTACTCTTCCGGTCCTTAATATAGGACTCAATTTTTAAATTGGTTTTGGTCCTAAATATAAGACCCATTTCTCATATTTATCTATTTTCTCTAAGTTACCCTTATGGATACTCCATCAATCATAATCAAGTAGAATAGGGAGATGGAGTATTAAGAAAGATGATTATGGTATTTTAGGAAAAATGTGTCACTTTTTTTATAATTAACTAACTTACCTAACTTTCTTAATCTAATCAAATTAGTTAAATGAGTCTTATGTTAAAGATCGAAAGAGTAGTTTTTTTTCTCCCATAATTTGTCTCTTTTTCTGTATTTGTTTACTTAAGAAGCTAAATTGGGATGGGTGGGTCCACAAACCGGGACAAGGCGTTTCCTCCTTTCTCACCCAATGCCTTTGTCTTTATCCAATCATGCTTTTGCCGAAGCACCCTGCCCTTTATTTTATTATTCTTGCTCCCTTGTCATTTTGCGCCAGACAGTGCCGTATAAAGGCAGCGGAGGACTTTGTACTGTTGATTTATTATGGAATGAATTATTGTTGGCAAAAAAATAAATAAATAAATAAAGGCAGCGGAGGACAGCGGACCATAACCGTAGTGGATAAAAATCACGCCCATCAGGGCGGAAGAGGACCAGGGAAGCTTGATATTTCTGACCTAATGACTCTTCCCATTTTCTTATAGAGGGTCGGGTCACTTGCATGTCATCTCTTCAGATTATGATTAGGGAGAAAGTCTAAAAAAAAATTTTAAAAAAAATTCTCAATAACAATTTTAACAGTCTATAATAATAAGTTTGAGAGCAAAAAATGACAATTTCTAAAACTTATTTTGTAATTTTTTTTCTTTGGAACCTTATTATAATTTGAAAAAATTACAAATAAAGACTCCTAATATGTAAAATTATGATTTGAGATCCTAAATTTGAAAAATAGCACAAAAAGACCACATCCCACTTTTGCAAATATGAAATCATGGTGAAATGTCTAAAATGCCCCTCAACCAAATAACAAGTTGACTATGAGAAATGACAAGTTCACTTTAGCGAATGACAATTTCAGTAGACCAAATCACAACTTGACTGGGGGTATATCAAATGACAAGTTGATTATGAAAAATGACAAGTTTACTTTAGCGAATAACAATTTCAGCAAACCAAATCACAATTTGACTGGGAGGCATTTTAAACATTTCATCCACATTTCATATTTGTAAAAGTGGGATCCGGTCTTTATTTGTTATTTTTCAAATTCAGGGTCCCAAATCACAATTTTATATATTGGGAAGTTTTTATTTATGATTTTCCTTTATAATTTTCCCTTATACTAATAAAGGGAATGATGACAAAACTATAGAAAGAAGAAAGAGGGTCTTTTTTTTTTTGGGTCCAAAAGAAGAAAGAGGGTTCAGAGAATAGAAAACTGAGAAAGGTGATGGAGGAAATATTGAAGATCTGAAATTGAGAATTCGATAAGTAATATATAACGTGAAAAGACAGACTATCAACAAAAGCCCGTTCTAAGATTTTTCTTTTAAAAAATTAGCACAGCATTAGCCAATTAAAAAAAGGTTCCATCCAAACTGTTTTTTTTATTTTGCATATACAACGTAAAGGTATATTTTATGGTGAGAAATCAGACTATGGTGGAACTTTATTAATAAATAAAAGATACTCCCCCCGCCTCTGTTAGGTACCGCTTCTAAATAATTCATGTGTGTGTGTGTATATATATATATCAATAAAAATAGTTAAACAGTATTAAATATATTCTAAAATTCAAGTGATTTTTAAAAATTTATTTTATAATTTTTTTGGAACCTTATTATAATTTTTCCTTATAATTATAAAAAGAAAGATGACAAAATAAAAAAAAAAAACGTATAGAAAGAAGAAAGAGTGTTTTTTTTTTTGGTCCAAAAGAAGAAAGAGGGTTGAGAGAACAGAAAACTGAGAAGGGTGATGGATGAAAAATTGAAGATCTGAAATTGAGAATTCGATAAGCAATATACAACACGAAGAAACAGACTATCAACAAAAGCAAGTTCTAAGATTTTTCTTTTAAAAAATTAGCACAGCATTAGCCAACCGCTTCTAAATAATTCAAACACACACATATATAAATCAATAAAAATAGTTAAAAAGTATGAAATTTATTCTAAAATTCAAGTGATTTTTTAATATTATTTTTATTAAATACCATAAACTTCAACATTATTAATTTTTACTTTCTCTCACTACCTTTATTAAATATTTAAATATGCGCATATTTAAAAATATATTTAATATTTATTCAAACTATTAAAATGTCTTGTAAAAAATAATTTTTTATTCATACAAATATTATAAAATTGTCAAATCATTTTAAATTATATTAAAATATTTCATATGTTAAAAATATGTTATTTTCTAATTTATAAAATAAATTTTTAATTTAGTAATAAATTTATATTTATGTAATAATTGGAAATACAACTATATTGTTCAAATCAAAGAGAATCAAGCGGCCTTCCCCCGGGGGAAGTTGTCTATCCATTGCAACCAAACCCAATGAAAATATAAAGAGAAGACTTAATAAGAACCAGTTCCGATTGAAAAAACAAAGTTGCAACAAAATATGAATCCATCAAATATGTATTTTGCATATCATCCGTGAAAAATAAGGTCTGATTTATGAATACATGAGAGTGATAAATAATGTTTGGATATATATATATATATATATATATCGATCGTAGGCATCATGGTACCCTCTTTCGGAGTCTTACTAGAATTGAAAACCAATAACAAAGCACAATAATGTAAAACACCTAAATGCCAAAGGGTTTACCTTTGGCACTTACTATGTTTCTGATCATGGTCATGTTCTGAATCAGTTTCTTGCAATATTCAGAGAGACCCAACAACTGAGAATCAATTTCTCCAAGCTTGAACTCCATGGCTTGAATCTCCTCTTTTGCTGCTGAGATATCGGACACGTCAACGTCATAAACTTTGGCACGAACTGACTCAACCCAGTCTTTGTCGAACCCAAGAAAAATTGCTTCACTTAAGTTTGCCTCCAAGGTTGATTTTTCTGATGTGGTAATCGTATAAGGACTCTTGGTGGTGAGCATGACCAGAATATCAACCAGTACCCTGTAGGACCAAACTATTATGCGATGGGTTCGATGTTCACGAGGCAGCAATAGTTGGGGATATCGCTCTAGTGCTTCAGCAAGTAAAGCTGTTTCTTCTTGTTTCAACTCCACAAGTTTGAAAATTTCAAAAATTTCCAGTTTAGGAGACGAAGTGCCAGCATAAGCAATTTGTGATTCTGTCACAGGTGAACAAGTTAGCAGATGGATCAAAGACCCAAAAAAAAAAAAAGGGAGTACTATAATGATCATGTAAAGAAAGACACTTACGATTACGGAGAGAAGGAATGACTTGGGGAATGATTGCTTCCTCTTGAACATTTGAGTGATCTCCTGCTTCTTTAACAGTCTGCATCGAAGAAATTAAAAGGGAAAAAAAAACATGCAGTAGTATTTAATTGGTTCTCTTTTAAAATGAGTAGTTGATTATGACTGTGCTGATAGAGATAGCTTAAAACACATACAAGGGCTCTCATGAATGGAGTTGCCATTGGTGATGTGTCTGTAGCAGAAGCTTTTTCATCAATTCCTTTTTCTTTTTCCTTAGCACTCTAACAGACATCAAGATAACATGTGAGCATCTAAACTAACTCGTGGAGAATAAGGGGAAAAAATCATACAGAGTACTTCGATTTCCATGATTAGAAAACGGTAACATTACTAGTGCAGAATGTTTTCCAGAGAGGTCATCAATTGGTCCTGTAGACTGCTTCCCTGAATCTGAATTAGTTGATCCAACTGCTGTCACGACATCATCTTCTGCATAATTCTTTTCAAGACCTCGTTCTGTTGTATCTTTGATGCTCTGAGTAATCTAAAAGTAAGAAGAAATAAGTTGCAGTTTCATATGTCCTATAGGTGCTAGAGTACTACCCTTAGGTTTTGCTAAGTTGTGAGAGACACTTTGTATATTGTAATTCTATTTTTCAGTGTTCAAGAATTAAGAATCCAAAAGTTTGTTGTTTAGTCATTAGATGTTGATTAATTGTTAAAAAGAAATGTAAGTTGGTCTTAACTTTTATAACCTTTTTACACTTTAAAAAGTTCTTGATCAACACACTTAAAATCATTTTATATTGATAATAAATAGAGATTGGAAATGTCAAATTGAAGCCATTGATAGCTGCGAAGCACGTTTTTTAACAGCTTCTTTCTCTCTTTCTTCGGAGCTTTGAATAACATCACAAGATAAAATTTCCCATAATTATAACTAGGCAAAAGTAAAAGGAAAACAATGCATCTAGCAACTTCATTCATATGCTATCTTATATATTAGTAAGGATAATGCATTTTTTCTGGTAATTATAATGCATTTACTTGTGCAGAAATGGGTAATACTCTGGTTTGCTTCCTTGAATCTGAATTAGTTGATTGAACTATTATTGGAACTTCCTCTGCTGCATCATCTTCTTGAGAGCCTTGCTCATGTGTTTCTTCCGTGCTGGCAACCTACAAAACACAAATGAATTTCTCTTTTCAATTGTTCTTCCCCATAAATGAAAGCATGCTATGAATTTGAAATGAACTTGGTAAACTTACCAATTTAGATGGACCAAATTGCAAGTGTCCGACATGTGAAACAACTGAGGAAGTAACACCCTGCAAAAGTACCAGAAGATATGTAAGTATCATGTTGTTTAATTATAATCCTTAGATCCTTTAATATTTGGTGAAGATTCAACTATACAATAATCATCCTATCTGCTACCTCCTCCTGGCGTTTCACGCTTATTTCACTTCTTGATTGCGATGGCTTCAAATCCTAAATCAAGCAATGAATAAGGAAAAAGGCACATGTTTAAGCCATTAATTTAGAATGCATTCCTAATTCTTTATTTCAAAAATGTCATAAAACACTAATCAATAACCAATGGGAACTCTTTTTGGTGAGGAATGATCAATGCTTCGGATGAGTTTCTTGGTGCTAAATCAGCTACCATAGTTGCTGCCACTACATCCTCTGAGTTGGGACCACCTTCAGCTCTTTCTTTTGATATGATATCAATACTCTGAATACCAAAAAATAGAAATAAGTATCAAATATTGTAATGATCGAACTTTGAAAGAACTTAGTCGTCTATGTTATAACCTACATTATCATCAAATGGTACATTGGTTTTCTGAGAAGCTTTAGTGGTTTTTGTTTCTGCAAGATCCTCTTGTTGGAGCTGCATAGTCGATTCACCTGTTTTGCGGTCATCCTCCAACTCCTAGTTAAAATATTAAATAATTAGAAGAGAACTATTTTGACACATTTCTATTCCCATCATGTTGAAATCACCTAAATAATCTATATATAAACTTACATGTAAAGATGTCCCTCTCAGTTGTAATTTTGTTGCTAAAGTTCCTAATGCTTGTTTCTCTAAAGCTAGAGTAGGGTCTTTAACTTGAATTTCAAGTGATGTTTCCTCTGTGATCTACAACAGAAAAAGAGATATCCTTAGATTAGTTTTTCTTTTATATCTATATATATATATATATATATTGTGCTTGTAAGTCTGATCTTTCAACTCAACAACATATAATAGATATTTATGATTTTTTTTTCACATCCTCAATAATTAACTTTATATTTTTAAATGAGTTGATGAAGTTATTATCTTAACTTTATCAAATATTGCTGCCTGTTAATTAAATATTTCATTTAAAACTCCTGTTCTTTTTTCTACTGAGCTCAATATACATATGATTCCTAAGCTATAAGTTTCCAATTAATATGTACTACTACAATCACTGTTCTTTTTTCCCCCCTTGATCCACAAGAATCCATGCTCTTGTCAATAATATATAACAGAGTTTGGTTATGTGGTTTTTGCTCTACGTCTCCACATATCACTACTCTGAAGTTGGATGTATTCCAACAGCCTTTTTCTCTGTTTCTAAGCTTTGAGTAAATATCAAAGGACAAATTTTGTTCAAGAAATTAGATAAAAACCAGTGTCATAGATGACAGAAATTATATAAACAAATTTGAAAACAGTAGCAAACAAATACAAGTTTCTTTCATTGATATCACACATAGGAGGTAGCTTCTTTCATTACTATTATTTGTTATCAGTGAATTATATAAACTAACATAAACTAAGTTTATTATCATTTCTTTCAAATTTTGTTCAAAAAAATTAGATAAAAATGTTGCCATTGGTGATATTCACAAAAGAATTGGTCTTAACGCAAATGACAACTTTTTTTTTTAAAAAGTTAATGCTCCCTCTAGTCCTATTTATAAGCTTCAAGTTTGAGAAGAAGTATACTCCATTATTATAAGCTTCAATTTGGAATTGTCTAAATATCCAATGTATTTTTTTTCAGTATTGTTCTTAATTATTTCTCTCCTATCACATGTCTCTACACATTCTCTTTCATCTATTTTCTCATTTATTACAATAGCATATTTGGAAAAAAATCTATTTCTAACCTTTTTATTGTTTTTAACTAATTATTTGTTATTCATAAATTAGTTATTTGAAACTTATAATAAAGATCAGAGAGTAATGTTGAAGCACATCTATTTATTCATTAGTTTCTCTTTTTTTTATGTGAAAATAATAAATGAGTCTTTAAAAAAATACTACGACATTTCTAATGTTTCCCAAAAATCTTTGCATTAATTGTAGTAATCAAAATTATGAACAGGTTAAATTCACTATTAAAAGAAAATACACAAAAAAAGAAAGAAAATACCCAAAAAAATAATGATTCTTGTGTTCTTCTGATGATTAGTCTGATATATATACCTCTGTAAATTCTTGCAAAACACTTGTTGTTGCTTGATTTTCTGAATCCCCATTTTTAGGCTCTTCTTGGATTTGATCAGTTTCTGCAATAAAATTTTTATTATCATATTAATATTCATAAAAGTAGCTAGCAATTATCAAAATACTTTTCCTGGATTTATACCTTGATATTTTGGGCAATCTTCCACGTCACATTGCAGATCCTTAAAATCAATCCCTTCACAAATAGAAATAAGCTTTGGGAGTTTTACAAGTGTTGCCTCTGACAGGTTTGGAAATACTTCTCCCATTTTTGCCATCTTCTCCATATTATTTTGCTTGCATATAAATATTTGCTCAAGCTCAGAGGCTTCTTCTATTGTCAAGACCTTCAACTTTGGAAACATCTCACATGTTGAGATAGAGAAAAGGAATTTCAAGCTATGACAACACTTGATGTCAATTTTCTTTAACTCTGGGAAACAAAGTTGATGCAAATGATCCCCATCACTTTGTTCAATGATATCAACTAATTCATCACAATCTTCTATGCTTAAAGAGGATAATTGGGGAAGGCTTTTCACTATTGAGCCACAGAAGATTGCTCTTAGCATTTTGCATGCTATGATGTCTAGTTCTTGGAGATTGGGGAGGCTCAAAATATATTTGGGTCCCCTACATATATGTCTCAACTCACTTAGATTATCCAACCACATTCTTTCTAAGCTTAACGTCATGACTCCACCTTCAATCTCCATTCCCTCCAAATTAAGAACATCTTCTATTTTGGAGTGTCTCACCCAAAGTTTTGTCAGCTTTTGCACATCCTTGGTAATTTTCATCAGGTCCTGATAAAAATAAATCAATTCAAAATTTCAGCACCAGATCAAATTATCACATTCACGAATTGTAGAAAATTCCAATACTATTATTAATGATGTCTCAATGTGCATTGAGTTAGAAAACAGAGAAGCTTTATTATTGACGCGTAGAATGCTTACAAATTAAAGACGCATACACATCGATTATGCCTAAGTATAGCGACTTGAAATCATAAAAAGTATATATGCTTGAGAAGCTAATTAATCCATAGTTAATTTCTCCCATAGATAAACTTATATATGGTGCAAGTTTCTTTTAAACTATTTAGCAAAATTTTTAAAATTTTTAAGGTCATTGCTTTTTTCAGTTAACATCTTCTGTAAGAATCTGATGAAAAAAAACAAGTTTTTTTTTAATAAATGAAAACTAAATTGTTAATTTCTATGAATGAAAATTCGATAATTTTTTAGGCCAAAAAATTCAGTAATTTCATGTCTTGACATGCAAAGTTTTTATGCATGAAAAATGTGTTCTTGATGTTCGAGTTTAAATGCTAAGCGATCCCGTTGTTATGAGAAGAAAATTTCCAAAAAGATGAACAAAATAAACAAAGTAATATATATGGAGCAGTTATCTTTCAAACTATTTAGCAGAAATATTTAACTTTTTAAGGTCATTTTTTTTTTCAGTTAACATCTTCTGCAAGATTTTGATTAAAGGCGCACATGCGCACATATATGTTGATGAAAAGCAAATGTTTATAAATGAAAAATAAATTATAAATTTTTATGTATGAAATGTCTTGACATGAAAATTTTGTAAGCATAAAAATATGTTCTTGATGTTCAAGTTTAAATGCTAAGCAATCCAAATAAACAGAGCAATATGCAGATCATAGAAAAAGAAGTCAAATGTGTTACCTTTGGAGCTTTCACATTCAATTGTATTCCTTGTAAATAAGCCACCAAATCTGGAAAAGATCTTCCGTTGAACTCTTGAAGACCCCCCAGACCAATCCTTTGTAGAGGCGGAAAGCTGAGGCGATATTTTTTGGCACCAATATTGTTGATTAACTTTGGTACATCTGCAAGTTCTAGTGTTTCCAAAGCAGGGAGATGAATTGTATTTGATAAATGATCTCCATCATCATATTTCCCAAAAATGTATTTCAACTCAGTAGCTTTCCAGATACTCAAAGATTTTAATTTTTGAAGAGTACCAAAAAGAGACAGGGGAAATATAAACTCCAGCTTGTTGCAATTGCCGATACTTAGATCCTCCAGTTTTGGGAAAATGGAGCTATAGTTCATGTCATGATGATGATTATTAGAATCATCTCCAACCACATTAACTAATTCCTCACAATTCCGTACTCGTAAATGAGACAACTGTGATAGCTTTCTGTAAGCAGAGACAGAGAACAAAATCTTCAACTTCTGGTTTCCCGAGATTGTTATTCTTTTTAGATTGTGGAAGTTGAGAACATGTTGAAAGCCCACACTTGGAGTGAGTAGTGGTATTTCAACGTTAACTATCTCTTGTATTTCAGATTCCTTTGCTCCCTCACTTCTCACATCTTCCATGTGCTTCTCAATTTCCTACAACACGTTTTCACAAAAATGGCAATTCAAAATTTAAAATAATGTTCTCTATTTTGATCCATTTGCTTATGAAATACATACACATTCACCCACAAAACACAAACACACTATATTTTTTTTTGGAAATATTTTAAATTCAAATTTGAAATCTTTATAGAAGTAAAAGCCGAATCACTTTGACATAATTAATTGTACACGTCTCTATAGGAAAATTATATGAAAGTCTTCATTGTTTTGAGAATGTTTAAATATTTTGTTAGCAATATGTAATTTATTACATATAATCTTTATACAAATTAAAAAATATTGATAAACTGCACTTTGATTTAAACTGAAATAAAAAGATCAGAGTTAGAGAAGTTGACATTAAATTTAGTGTAATAATTAATATATTACCTCACTTTATCTAAAACTCTGAGGTACAAAATAGACATCACATTTTAAACCAATAGAATTTCTTTTTGGCCATTCAAAAACAGTTAGTGTGCATGTAATCCCCCAATATATAATATCTGATAATATATGTAATCTAAAGGCTTATCTTATTAATCAATATCAGAGCTGTAGGAAAATCGAGTAATTACGTGAGTATAAAATTGAGGAATTGGTATAGATTTAACATTTTATAAAAAATATTATTGCAATTTTATATAAAGATATATAAATAAGTTAAAACGGTTAAAATTTAATCTTATCATTTTTCAGTTGTAATTTGTAAACTATGGTTATAAAGCATAATTTTTCTCACTTTTTTCGCTACAGTTATGAACTATTCAAATCAAATTTAATAGTTCAAATTTCTTTAGGTATTTTTTAAGTAAGATTATAATAATATTTAAGAAGACGTTAGTTTTTATATAATGATGATAAAGTTGAAAGAAGAGTAGAGGAAGTTCCCCTGCCTCAGTTTATCCGTAATGTTGGGACATAAAAGGAGACATCAAACAAATACAACTATTCCAGAATAATGAATATTAAATTAGGAGTGTGAGTATTTTAAAGATCAAATTGTTTTAGTTCGATTCCTGTTAGGTACCAGCTAAAATAATTAAAAAAAAAACTAATTGAAAATGAACAGAATTATTATATGCAACCAAGACGGGAGTCATACATGTTTGTCTTCCACAAGTATAAAATAATCCGTATACAAGATACATAAAAATATTGATAAATTGCATTTTGACATAAACTAAAAGCGGCATGACCCATAATAGTTATATGCAAAAGTTTAAAGTTAAAATTTTAAAAGAGAACAAATAGACAAAATATATTTTCATA